TTTCCACCACCGGCTTTCGGCCACAAATGAGGGCACTATCATCGCTACGAAGGCCTGGTAGCGGTTAAATGAGCCGAACTCTCGGGCTTTGACAACAAACGGGTGGTTTGGATGGGAATAGGGATGGGTTTTGGTGGCGAACGCCGCGCTGGCGATCACGTCCACCGCGTAGTGAGACATAAGTACCGGCAAGTCTAGCACCGCTGGCGGTGTCCGGTAGCTGGCGGCCGACACTATGCCGTCCAAAGCGGTCACAAACTCGTCGCAACACTCGCTGACGAGTGGGTACAGGCGTCGCAGTTTGCCTGAACTAAACGCGGGACTCACGATAAGTCGCTGCCGTTTCCAGTGGCCGTCGCGGGCGTTGAACATATTCTCCGGAAACCGGCCGTTCGGGTCGGTCTCTGGCATACGGTTACGGAATTTGTGGAACTCTTTGACCAGAATCTGTTTGACGAGCGCCGGTTCGGCCACCGTTAGCACCGGCCGTACGGAATCATACACCCTATGTAATAAAGCGAGTAATTATTATTTGTTATTGTCTAGGTTATAATAAATAATATTTATTGTGTTGTTTTTCGCTTTCATTAATACTTTATATACCGCGTGTAATTGTTGCATAATATTTCAATTTTAATACAGTATTGCACGTATTACCATTACCAGTACAATTATAATTAATGTTTTACACGCAGTGTTTTAATTATTAACTTACCCATAGATTTTGCCGTATGTGTTATACCACTTCATCTCGATATAAGGTAAGGATTTGAAGAACAAACTCATTTTGTTACCAAAATATGGTATGGGTGTCGGGCCCGGGATATTACGGTAGGACCAGTAATTTAGCGAACGATTCAATTTTCTAGCATTTAATGCCAAATCAATAAAGCATGGTAATTATAATAATTAATGAATAACTTTATAGTGCAAGTATACAATATATAGTGGAATATAACAATGCTTACAAATATTTGAGCGTGATCAAAATGGCCACAATAGGGGCCAATGAATACCAAAAGTATTGCGTGTTAATTAGTGATGGCATCGGCATTATTATTGCCATCAATTGTATTAGTTTAGAAAACATTTTGTAAATTAAATGCCACGCATAGAGTATAATCAAGTTCTACAGTATAACATTAAAATATGATGATATTATATTTAGCTTATATACTCGTACGAATTTCATGATTTGTGTAAAATACACTTGCTTTCTTATTGGTTATAAACTATAGTTATTAAAACAATCGAGAATATTCTGGCTGTCACCAACCAAGTTGAATAACTTCAATTGTATTAGGCATATTTAATATATCAGTATTTAGTATAGCTATGTCATTGTAATAAATATTATATTGTAATTTAGATTGAAGGTTATTTTTTAAATTAATTTTTTAACTTTTACTTACTCATAACAAAAACTCCCGAAGTTTCTAATGATTTTGATATATTATTTGGGTTTAGGATAACTCAAATACTTTTCGGGTTTAGCAATATATTCGAGTTTATTTTTGCGGAGTCCATTAATGTACACCATGTAGTTTATATAGTAATTAAATAAATGTTTAGCAGATTTACACATTTTATTCATTTGTTTCTTACAATATATTCCATATCTTGTCTTCTCATAGAAAAAGTTGCATGTCTAGTATAAACCTTATATACTAGATAATTCCTGCTATAGGTATTTTCAGGGCAAAAACGCCTCATCATTGCTAATGAAATGCAATGACAGCGCAAAACACCGCTTACAGTATTTTTAACTTTTAATTATAGAAGTAATTTCGAAAAATCAAAATTTTACTATTTTAGTTGTTGTTGTGGATAACAATTTATATGTTTGCACTGACGATACGGTCATACGATAGTGATTGGCATAATTGTCTGGATGTGAGACAAACTGTTTTGTTTGACATAAAATAATTGTAGGTAAAAAATGGCAAATAAAACGGCGCTTAAAACGTTATTCGTGCCGATCTTAGCCGAGGGTCACGTAAATCCCTGTATCGGTATTGCGACCCAATTGATAGCCGACGGACACCGCGCGGTGTTTACGGCGAACGATGTCTGGCGACCAAAACTGGCCGCTTATGGCATCGAAACGGTAGAGTTAGCCAAAACTAACGCAACGGATCATGAGGTGCTCGATATGGAGCGCAGCGCGCAGTTTATTATGTCTTTTGGCAAAATAGGCGGCGCGTCGGCCATAGAGAAGATCCCATTCGAGGCAAACACCGCCGACATTTGGACAAAACACGCCCAGTATATGGACAAACAGTTGGCCGCTCTGTTGCCCACCATTCGGCCCGATGTTATAGTTGTGGATCAGTTTTGGACACTACCAGCGGTGGAGTTGTCGGGCATACCGTGTGTGTGTGGTGCTGGAGCGCCGGCCCTCTAATGAGGATTGATTATCCTGTTATATTATATGTTTGATGAGATGTATGTATCTTGTGTAGTAACATCAATTTATTAATAATCAATAACAATTATTGCCATAGTTCCGAAGTGTAGTTAATTTTGTCAACAGTTATTATATTAGCATGGTGAGCATATTTATGACACACAAGGTTGCTAAGATGTTACAAAATAATTTAATTAATAATTTTCTAATTCAATATAATTTAATAAATTTTAATATTATTAATAACTTCGAATTACATAATTTCAATATAATTTAGTAATTATCAACTGTTAATAGTGGGCATTTCATGTTCCCGGTAACAAGCATATCAGATTATGAAATAATACGTCTGTATGAGAGCATACATGTCTGAGCGTCGGCCAACTGATCGCACACCCGGAGCCCAATATTCTGTAACTGTTGTCCGTATCGCTCGTCAAACAGTGCCGACTGTGTGTCAGTCATGTGTCGCCTCCAGTCGCCAATTATGCCCAAACGTACAAAAGGTTTATCTAAAGTGTTCATAATATCCGAGTGATTGGCCATCGGATTGTCGCGCATAGTCTGCAGCGAACAGTGAGTCGTAATGTTGGCCACCGTTTCGGCCGTAAACTGTTTGCCGAGAAAGCGGGCGATTGTGGCGATCATTGCCGGCAAGTCTGCGATCAACTCCTCGTACGCTACGAACAGTACGTTTAGGCAGTGATTCCCAGTGCCGTACGCGAGCCAAAAGTCGGTCACGTGTGACAACCAATCGCCAAACATTAACTGGCCATTGAGAAACAGGTGACACCAGTCATCCCAATCAATGGCAGTGTGTTTCACCATATGATTGATGTGATAGTAAGAAACGCAAACATCTTTTGGATTACGGATTATATAAATCATCTGATAAACAGATTAAGTAAAATTACAGAATGTTATATTATTCTCTCTCGCTCTCTCCAATACCTTTCCCTCTTTGCCATCAAAACGTGGTAAATATTTGAGGTCTAAATGATTAAGAGTAATTCGAGGGTCAATTAGCCCCTCAAACCAACAGCCATTTCGACTACTATTCGGTGAGTAGATAATGTTGGGCACCCTCTCAGATATTGGCCGATTGGTCACCCTATCGATCACTCCGTCGGCCATAATTAGGGAAACAATCTCTGAGAGCCAAGTGTTGCCTGACTTTGGGTAACCGCATAACCATATGTCTGTCGGTCTAACAGTGACCTCCTTTAACGTAATAAGCCATTCAAGTTTACCAGGTGTATTTCGCATCAATCGACCCTCGTGTTCAATCATATGCTCATAATTTATGTCTAAACTGGATAAATATTTGGCCCGGCGTTCGTGTTTCTCAGTTGACATTAGCTTTGAATTCATAATAGAAACAAATAATTAAAACCATTAAATGTTTTGTTAATAGTAAATAATTTAATTCAATTCAATAAACAATTCGATTTTGTATTTGTTAAATAAACTAAAACTTTTACTTACAAACAAGATAATTATTGTATATTATGAAATTGTAATGAGTAAGCTATTAATTAATATTCATTTTATCACTCAATATCACTTGACACAAATAAAATATGCGTTTTATAAAATAATTTTGTTTTACAAAAAAACAAATGACAAACAAATTTAATAATATATACAGGTACATTACTAAATTTTTATATTATTTAATTTGAGTGTCCGCACGATAGTTTTAAATTTTAGTAATATTTTTCACTAAATTCTACCAACATTGAAAAGCACTTTCATTGTTTAAATGTAGTGGTAGATAATACTTACACATAAGCACTCAGGCCTTGTATTATGATAATTATATTTAATGCCAATCATCGTGTAGTTTAGACCAAATAAAATAATTTCGTGACAATATCTTGAGCCTCTAACAAGGTGTTTAACGTTGCAATCGCATTAGAAAGTTGCATAGACACTAACGCCACGGCATACAAGTCAACTAAGCATACAGGCCATTGGGTTATCAGTAGAGTGGTCATCAGTACAAGTTTGACCAGTTTGTTTAGTATACAGGCGATGGTTTTGCATGTATTTTATAAAGTCCAGGCGAGAACTTGATAAAAATTAGATTAAAGTTTTATACTATTATAACAGATTTATTGCTTTTCAATCTAAAATACGCAAACTTTTTATATAATGCAATATGTATTATATAATAATTCTCAAATATATAATAACAACAATAATTTTAATATTCTACACAAAATCTTGATTAACTGCTATATAAATAATATTAATATAATTATTCAACATAAAACTAATTGAATGATAAATAAAAATAATTAATTAATGACTTTTTGAACAATCCATCCGTCGGTAGACATGGAGTGCTGGGCCTCCTCTATAGTATCGCAGACACGGAGTCCAATCGCCCGCAAGTGTTGTCCGTATCGCTCGTCAAAGAGGGCCGACTGTCGGTCAGTCATGTGTCGCATCCAATCACCGACTTTGCCGTTGCGGACGAATTTGGCGCCGGAATTGCCAATAATTTCCATCTGTTCAGACCTATTGGCCATTGGGTTGTCTTTCATCAATTCAAACGTGCAGTGATTGACAATCGTATCGACCGTTTCGTCGGTAAAGTCTTTGCCGAGAAAACGGGCAATTGTGCGGACCATTGCCGGCAGGTCTGCGCACAACTCCTCGTACGCCACAAACAATACGTTTGCGTGATTTGAGCCATACGTGAGCCAATAGTCGGTCACGTGTTGTAACCAATCGCCGTTCAATAGGTTTCCGTCGATAAACAGCCGACACGTGTCTTCAAAGTCAATGTCTGTCCGTTTCATCATTTTTTGGTAATAATAATACGAAACGCAAACATCCTTTGGGTTACGCATTATGTAAATCATCTGTTTTATAAAGTGTTGATTAAAAAAATAATGTTTACAATTACAGCAAAACATGCACTATTATTTTTATAATGTAATAGTAATTACTTTGCCATTATTTGTATCAAAACGTGGTGAAAGCGTTGAATCAAAGTGATTGCCAATAATACGAGGCTCTGGTAACCCGTCGAACCAACGCAGGGAATTGTTGTAGTCATGGACAACAACTTTCCTATTATAAAATATATTGGGCACGCGTTCGCTGATTGGCTGCTCCCGCACTCTGGCCACCACTCCGTCGGCCATTATTAATGACACGATTTCCGAGAGCCAAGTGTTGCCCGATTTATGGTAACCGCAGATCCAGATGTCTGTTGGCCTTACATTTAGGTTTTTTATAGCAAACATCCAATCAGATTGTTTGGGTCCACTAAATATAATTTTGCCATCATGCTCAATTATCTCATTAGGTTGATTAAGTGTTTGCAAGTATTTTGATTTTAGTTTGGATGACTTGTCCACCATTATTTAACAAAACAAATAGTCTTAGTAATTCAATCTACGGAATGTTACAATATAAAATAAGATGGTTAAATAGCAAATAAAGCATTATACAAAACACCTCATTTATTATTTACTCGCAATAATAATGATGACAATTAAATGTGTTTTATACATGATTCGACAAATTATATTTATTTTAGTTAGTTGTCATCAATAATTTTTATATTAACTATTATTAATTTTAAAAATTGCTAAGTCAGTGTTTTTTTAAACAATATAACAATAATACTATTCAATGTATCATCAAAACATTTTAATAATTTTTGTCTTAGATTAACTTAAAAATTGTTAATAGTAGCAATCATTTTAAAAATATTAAGTTTAATTATTAAGTAACTAAATAATTACAAATATACACTTTAAAAATGGCAGAGAATAACAACAAAGAAATGGATAATAGAGACATGTTCAAACAATCGTTCACTAATACTACTGTATTTGAACATGATGGTCTAATGCTACAATGTATTATAAACCAAAATACTGCACGTGATTGGCTGCTGGCAATTAAGAACTTGACCGGTAGGCCAACAGACATATGGCTCTGCGGTTACCAGAAATCGGGCAACACTTGGCTCTCAGAGATTGTGTCCCTAATAATGGCCGACGGAGTGGTGGACAGAGTGTTGAGTCAGCCAATTACTGAACGCGTGCCAAATATATTTTCTAATGATATTCAATCAAATCATTTTGAATGGTTTGAAGGATTAGACAAACCGAGAATTTTAAACAGTCATTTACCCGTTAAATATATGCCACCATTTGGCAAAACAAACGGAAAGGTGAGTGAGAGAGA